AAATGTAGAACCTTATCAGGTTAGCTTTGTTTTTAACCTCAGTTAAGTGCTTGAGAAACCAATTTAGACCATGTATTATCTTCCAAAGGCCTCATGAATTGTGAACTCTCTTTACCTATTTAGTCTGCTGTATTCAATTCAATTTAGTCTGGGGTATTCATCTGATGCTGTCCTGCTTATGTGCTGCACCCTAGCTGAATTCTTAAGTAGAACTTTTCCAGTTACGAAATGTTGGGTTTTCTCCTAATCAGTATAAATTGCTGATTAGGAGATAAAAGTATCCCTCAGACCAGTGGTGGCGAACCTATGGCACTGGTGCCAGAGGCGGCACTCAGAACCCTCTCTGTGGGCACAGGTGCCGTTGCCCCAGCCTTGCCTCCTCCCGCAACCCCCTCACCAGCAGCCCCCCTGGAGGAGAGTCGCCCCCAAGCGTGGCCCAGGCGGAGCAGCGCAGCCAAGGACATGGCAGCCAGGCAGCGTAGACAAGGCTCTGCCCTCACGCCCCATCACACACAGTTGATGCTGCAGGGCATGGGGAGAGGGCGTGGCCATGGCGCTGCTGGGCTGCCTGGGCGATCTGCGGCGGGCCCTGGAGGCGGTGAATGACCCTGCGGGCAGGCAGGGTGGGGTGAAGGTGGGGCAGGGGGTGGAGCGGGGGCAGGGGCAGTTTTTGGGCACTCGGTCTCTAAAAGGTTCGCCATCACTGACTCAAACTATTAGATATGGACACACAAAGTAGAATTGAAGCAATGAAAACTTGAACTATTTGCATCCTATATAAACATTTGATCTTTGTCAAGCCAGCTTTTCCTTTAGAAAACTGGCATTCTCCTCAGTAAGTACCTTTATATATAATCACTTTATCTGATAGGCACAAAGACAGGAAAGAAATATACATATACATTTATTTACTGTCATTCCTTTTCAGAGTATCAGGAGAGTCAAATGTCTACCTATGATGATGTCTGTATCCAGTCACTTTTCTCTGTCTTTATTTCAACACAACTGAAAGACATAGGAACTTGAAGACACTATTGCATCTTAAATATCCATGGACCCCATTACATACACTATTCCTGACTTTTAAAAAGATGGTACTGTTAGTCCTATTATAAACTTTTGGAAGAAATAACGAATCTATTATTTGGGATACCACTCCACTCATCAAAAATATTATTACAATCCTTAGTACTCACTTATGAAACAAATACATATTAAAGATAAAGAGAGCCAAAAGTGTATTTTTGCTATCGTGTATATACTAACAATAGTTCAAAAGTTAGCAAAAAATACTCAATAGCTACCATGCCATTTTCCCTTATAAACTGTTCCAAATGAGCCTGATCCAACTCTGGTTGACAGCATAACTTCACTTGCTTCTATTTCCCAATAATAGCTTGAATCCCTCTGTCCACGTGATCTCTGCAAAACAAGCAAGTATTTCAGACAGCTTGATGTGGAATCCATGGTTTAAGACAGGGGTGCTGAAACTTGGCCATTTTAAGACTTGTGGACTTCAACTCCCATAATTCCTCAGCCAGCATGGCTGACTGGGGAATTCTGGGAGTTGAAGTCCACAAGTCTTAAAGTGGCCAAGTTTGAGGACCCCCATTTTCAGAATTCATTAAAAGCATATATGAAATATGTTTCATGATACTTTAATACACAACCTGTATTGGCCATACAATATGCAAATTTAAATTCTGAACAGAATGTAGTGTAAAAAATGAGGATTAAATTATTAGCTTTCTGTTCAGAAATCTGTGGATCATCTGATAATTTTGTTCCCAAGAAAATGTTTCAAGCTACAGAACCTATCTTGCATTCTTTTAAAAATAAATGCATTTTCATTTGTTCTTCTGCTTCTTTTCTAATACTCACTGCACTATTGCCAATTAGCATGATTTCCCCTAGCTCAAGAGCTACCGTTACAATTCTAACATAGAAGGTATAAGAGAATACCTCAAGTAAAAATAAGAAAACATTTTATTTTATAAAATCCCTGCGTGTTTTGTTTAATTTGATTAAAGGATGCTAGTGCCTATCCTCTTCCTACCCTCTTCTTTCTTTGAACAGTTATGCAGAGGAAAGATCTATTGGAAGCTTTGGGATTTCATCTGCAAACTTGCAAATAGAATTCCAGTCAGATATGCTAAAGAGAAAACACCCATTTTGACAAGTTCATAACGTTTTTTAGAAACTCACATACTATTCAGGATAAGTAAGAAACATTTAACTACACGCATATACCAATCAGACTTGCCTGTGCAGGTATTTGATGTCTGTATTATATTCATTTCATGCAATTATATTTTTATACTTACTATTTTTTTTTCTTGCGGATTAGCTCCTGCAGCTCGCTCTCTTTGAGCCGGAACTGGTGTTTTAGGCTGTGACCACCCTGTTGGACTTGTATTGTTGGGGCTTCCTGACATAGCTGGTGGTGATGCTTCAAATATTCAAAGAAAAAAAGTAATAGATTCTAATAATACAGGACACCTTCATAAGCAAAGATTGTAGACAAGAACAGGCATGAAACCTGCACATATGCCATATTGTATAAAGACTAAACCGCACTTGACAATATTAATGCTAGCTTATACTGGTCAGCGACATTCTAGCACTTCCTATTTGGAATAGAATAGAATAGAGCTGGAAGGGACCTTGGAGGTCTTCTAGTCCAGCCCCCCACTTAAGCAGGAGAACCTACATCGTCTCAGACAGGTGATTGTCTAGCCTTTTCTTAAAGATCTCCAGTGATGGGGCGCCCACGATTTCTGGGGGTAAGCTGTTCCACTGATTGATTGTCCTCACTGTCAGGAAGTTTCTCCTTAAATCCAGGTTGCTTCTCTCCTTATACAGACAGTCCTCTGTTTAGTCCTCTGCTAAACAGCTGCCCTGTTTAGCAACCATTCAAAGTTGTGACGGTGATCAAAATTACTACCAATCCTCGTACCTATGATCACTGCAGCATCCCACGATCATCTGATCGCCATTTCTGCATTTCACTCCCTGCTTCTGACAAGCAGACTTAAAGTAGAAGCCGGCACTTAACAACTGGAGGGAAAAGTGATATTCGTCTGCCAGTCACATGATGTCTCGCTTAACTACTGTGTCACTTATTGACGGAGCTGCCAGTCCCAACTGGAGAGATAAGGCAAGGACTATCTGTATACACTACTCGCTATATGCAAAATAGAGCAGTTTCTCTTCAGAACATTCTGTCTGACCTGAGTATTCTGGATAGTTTGAGCATTTCCAAGATCATTTTGACACATTTCCTGTTTCCCAAGAAATACATTTGGAGAGGAAAACTGAAAGTTGTGGGCTGCTTCATTTCACATTTTTAAGGAGTATCTAGTTACTATATTTTAGTGAACACACTCACCAGATTCACTGTGACTACGTATAGCATCCTGAAACAAAGAGAGAGAAAATACTATCACTCTTTCAATATAACTTCTGTGAGAAACAGAACAGAGTAGCAAATGCCTCTGTAAGAGAACCTGACTCAGCAGTTTTGATTTTAGACTTCAAAACATCAGCCAAGACATATATAGTGAGAAGGGATATTGGCAATTCAAAGCACAAGGAACCTTAAAATTGCACTTTCAGCAATTATAACATGCTTAGCGTTCAAAACTTTCAACTTGAGGCCCAAATTATTTATTTACAGGTTGTACAGGAATGTCAAAATTGTTATCCACATTTTTGTGCACTGCTTAGAAATTATTTTAATAAGTCATTTATAAGCAATCCAAAATAGATAAACCAAGAGAAGAAACAAATGCATAGGATGGTTTTAATATTTCAAATTCATTTTTGCATAAAATGGTTTTTATCCTAGCGTCTCAGGGGTGTCAAACTGCCGGCCCACGGGCCAGTTGCATCATGTGGAGGCCGCACCCACCCCAGCTGCGGCAATGCGAAAAAAGTCACGATACATCACGACACGTCACGCGGCGAGTTTGACACCCGTGTAGTGTCTAAAGCAGATAGTTTGCTGAAAACATAGCAACAGGCTGGATCTGTAAAAAATTCAGATGCCCTCTCCAGCCTAGCACTGCTGCAGCTGAGCTGGTTTCTCTTTCTCTTCCTTAATGTTACGCATGCTAGTCTACGTAAACATGCACAGCAGTGATCAAACACACATTTGTAATGTTCCTCATCTGTCCAATACCATCCAAATTAACATTTGGATAATTGACAGAAAGACATATGTGCCCAAATACTCTGGAAAACAAACAAACCCAAGGTCAAAACGTGAGCCAAAAAATGGCTTGAAGGCACTTTTGCTGATGATGAACTTGTCTGTCCCTGTAAACTGGCTACAAACCACTCAGAACTTTTTGAAAGGTAAGTGGGTTTGAGAATACAATCCATAAAACAGAAATAATGAAGGTTTCAAACAATTTTGTAATAAAGCTGTGAAAAAGTTGAATGGAATCCTGTGTGAGAATTACATAATCTATGAAAAGATTCAGTTATAAAAAAAGACAATTGGGAACAACTTCAGGTCCTAAGAATGACGTGTAAAAA